ATATGGAGGAGGAGGAGGCCAGGCAGTCAGTGCCCCCAGGACCTGGCCAGGAGAAGGCGGCCATCAGCGTTTGGGGGGAAGGCACAGAGAGCTGGGTCACGTTATTGGCCGGAGCTGGGGGGTGCGCCCCACGTGGGTCCCGCTTTCTGAGTCCACCTGCCCACTGTGCTGATCGGCAGTGGGGAATGACCACTGGGATCTAGGTCATCAGGAATGCGCACCTGCAGTGACTGCTGAGTTGTAGATCCGATCCCAGGACAGAGGCTGGTTATGCTCGTGGTCTGGCCGTTTGCCGAGGGCACGCCTGCACAGGTGAGCGGGGCTGGCCCCGCTGCCCTGCTCGATCCAGTGCAGCCGCTCTCTATTCCCCAAAGACTCCTGAGCACCCCCTGCACCTCCCTCTCCAGCCCAGTTGTCTCCCTGGGTCCTGAGGTGACCGGTGAGGGGGACCATCTCTGGCTGAGCAGGCGTATGTTTGATGTTTCAGCACCCAGTGACGTTCCGGGACGTGGCTGTGCACTTCACCTGGGAGGAGTGGCGTCACCTGGACCCTGCCCAGAGGGCCCTGTACCGGGAGGTGATGCTGGAGACCTTTGAGAACCTCGTCTCCCTGGGTAAGCACAGCTTGGGTAAGCACAGCTTGGCCAAGTCAGGGCTGTGGTGGGGGATGGAAAGGGGGTCTCCCCGCTTCCCTCAGTGTGGACTTTGTGTGCGGGAATCCTGCAGAACAGACTGTAGGATTCCAAAGGCACTTAGGGCCAGTAGACATCATAAGAGCAGCGGCCCCAGTAATAGCAATAACTGGCATTTACATGGAGCTCTAAGGTTTGTCAGGCGCTCACCTCCTCTCTCTTGATCCTTACAACAGCCTTGTGAGGTAGCTGCTGCTATCATCTCCATTTTATAGAAGGGGAAACTGAGGCAGCTTATGTGACTGGCCCAGGGCCAGCTGGCTAAGTAAATACCCGAGGAAGGATTTGAACTCACATCTTCCTGACTTGAGGTCTAGCACCCTGTCCACTGTGCTGCCTAGCTCCCTCTAGAATATCTCTGCTCCCTGTTCCGAGGTGAAAGACCTTTGCTTTATGAAAAAGGATTTTCCATATTGTCCTCATGTTTGCCCCAAGGCTGCCCCCCAGGTCACTGATTCTTCCCTAAGGTCTGGAGAGAGGGCAGGTGCCCCCCCCCCCCCTTAGCACAGTCCTCCCCCATCCTCAGAATGCAGAGCAGAGGGTCTCCCCAAGAGCTTGGACCACCCCAGGTCTTTATGTCCATGACCGTTCCCCGATGGGAAAGAAGGACTTAGGACTGAGCCCTGAGATGGCTCTGTCCCCGGCATTGCTTTCTTTCTCTCCCCGTGCCCAGGGCTCCCTGTTTCCAAGCCTCAGGTCATCTGCCAGCTGGAGAGAGGAGAAACGCCGTGTCTGCCCGAGACAGAAGTGCCGCATCCAGGTGAGTGAGTGAGTGGGCGTCGCCGGCCGCAGCCGCAGCTCAGCGGGCCGACGTGGGCAGGGGGCCGTCCTCAGCATCACCCCTTCCTGTGAGAAGCCTCCCTTGCTGCTTCCCTCCCCATCTCTGCCACAGACAAAGGTCTCGTCATCTGTTTCCTTATCCCCACCCACGAGCCATCAGCACCACTGCTACGTACAAGCACATTTCTGAGTGATCACACCTCTGGTACCACCTAAGTGGGTGTATTGGGACCTCCGGGGCAGATTCCCTTGGCTCTCAGGCTGCTGCCAAACTCGCGGCCTTCTCTGCGTTTTCCCAGGGTTGGTCCTAATTGTGCTGGGCTTTAGGGCCATCACTTCCCAGCTCAGGTTTCCTGGCTCAGCAGCACCTCGAGCACAGTGTCATGGGGGCCGTTTCCCATTTGTCCTGGCTTTCCATTCTCTTCCTAAATCACAATTTACTTCTCCTGCCCCTCCTCAGACACCAGGGCAGTTCGGGTTTTTTGCTATGACAAAGAGCGTTACTAGTTTCCCCATCTGGAAGATGAGGGAGTGGGACCGGATGGCCTGGGAGGGTCCGTCCAGCTCCCGAGCCGGAGTCCTGCTGCCATTATTTCTAGGATTGTACTCTCCTGTCCTCTGCCACAGCCCCCACCCTCTGCTGGACCGTTGCGGTACCTGCTGGGCGGCTGCCTGCCCGCCCAAGTCTCTCCCCGCTCCGGTCCATCTTCCACTCAGCCGGTCACGTCACCTGCTCAGTAACCCGGTGGCTCTGTCATGTCCAGGAACCATAGCGAACGCTCTGCTTGGCTCTTGGAGCCCTTTATCACCCGCTCCCTCCGCCTCCCTCCCCAACATGTCCTCTTCAGGCCGGTGACTCCGGCCGCTGGCTGTTCCATGACCAAGCTGGCTGCTCTGCTGGCGTCCTGCTAAGTCCGGCTAGAATCCCGCCTTCCACAGGAAACCTTCCCCTGGCCCTTTGAATTCCACTCCCCGCCCTCTGGTCATCAAGGCAGGGACTGACTTTTGCCTCTTCTCAGTATTCATATCCCGTGGGGCGGAGCGTGCGTGTAATGAGTGTTTATTGGTTGATTGATTGACCTCAGAGGTCAGCAAGGCCAACCCCATCATTTTACAAATGAGGGAAATGAGGCCAGAGAGGTCACGGTCTTTCAGAGAAGCCCACCTGTAGAGCTGGACGGAACCTTGAGGCCGGTGGGACCGAGGAAACAGAGGCACACAAAGGGAAGTGACTCACCCAGGCTCACACAGCTAGTACTTGTCTTTTTTATCACCATAGTTTCCCCTCTTTTTTTATCATCAGATAAAAATGGCCCTCCCCTGCCTCCTCCCAGAGAGCCATCCTGGCTAACAGATAGGAAAAAGGAGGACTGGTGTACAGCCTTTGTGTGTATGTGTGTGTGTGCGTGTGCGTGCGTGCGTACACAAGTGTGTGTGTGCTTTCTGTTTACATGGTTGTAGTCATTATGTGTATTATTTCCTCGGCTCTGCTGCCCACACTTGGCATGAGTTCACATCGATCTTTCCACGCTTTTCTGTATTTGACACACTGATTTCTTGTTTTTTGCCTTTTTTTGATTTATTATTTCGTTTTCTTTGAGACGCAGGTTAGTGGTTAGAGGGCCAGCCTCAGAGCCTGGGAGATCTGAGTTCAAATCCCACACAGGCTGTAGGCCTCTGGGCAGGCCACTTAATCTCTGACTGTTCCGGGCAGCTCTCTAACACAATAAGGTGCCGAGCTGTGTAGGTTTACTCAGTTTCCTCATCCCAGAGTTCCCTATGTGATGAAATCACCTTGTTGTTGGTGAGCTGTTTTTAGTGGTGTCCCAGACTCTTGGTGACCCCGTTTGGGGTTTTCTTGGCAGAGACGCTGGAGCGATCTGCCATTTCCTTCTCCAGCTCATTTGACAGAAGAGGAAACTGAGGCAAACAGGGTGAAGGGACTTGCCCAGGGTCACACAGCTAGGAAGCGTCTGAGGCCAGATTTGGCCGCGGAAATATGAGTCTTCCTGGCTCTAGGCCCGGCGCTCTGTGCACTATGGCGCCACCTCCAATTTTTGGTTCTTATGAAAAGAGCTTCTGTGATATTTTTGTATGTATGGGTCCTGTCTTTCCTTCTTTGATCTCTTTGGGGCCTAAAAGTGGTGTCGCTGGTCGCATAATTAGCAGTGGAAAGCATGCGGACGGTTTAGTGTCTTTTGGCACATGGCTCCGAGTTTCCTTCCAGAATGGCTGGACTGAGTCACGGCTCCACTACCTGGCACCGAGGGGCCTGTTTTCCCACAGCCCCCCAACACGTCATTGTCCTCTTTCATCCACTTTGCCCGTGCTGTGGACGGTAGATGGAACCTCACAGCTGCTTTAATGTGCATTTCTCTAATTATTGGTGATTTGGAGCGTTTTTTCAAAAAGCTATTGATAGCTTCGATTTTATTTAAAACTCTTCATATCCTTTGATCATTTATCTACTGAGGAATGGCTTTTTAGTCTGATAAATTTGAACCAATTCCTTATGTATCTTAGATACGAGACCTTTATCAGAGAACCTTACTATGAAGAATTTTTCCCTAATTGTCCCTTCTAATTTTAATTACATTAATTTTGCTTTTTATGTAATCAGAATTGCCCATTTTATCTTGTGATACTCGCTTTTCTTTCCATCTTCAGAGATTGGGAAGGTCATTTCTTTGCTTTTCCTTTAATTGCTTAGGAAGTCACCTTTTATGTCTAAGCTGTGCATCCATTTGGAATCTCTACCTAATTTCCGCCAGGCAGCTTTCCAGTTTTTCCAGCACTTTTAGTCAGAGAGTGAGTCCTTGCCCCAGTGACTGGAGGTCTTTGGTTTTAATAAATTCTGGGGTATTGTGGACGTCTGATCCTGTATATTGTGCACCTTGTCTTTCCACTAATCAACTTTCCTATTTTTTAACCAGTGCCGATCATTTCAACGATTATAGCTTTGTTGTATAGTTTGAGATCTGGTACTGCTCGGTCCCCTCTCTTTTTGCTTTTTTTCATTATTTCCCTGGAAATTCTTGACTTTTTGTTTCTCCAGGTGAATTTCAGTTTTTCCCCCTAGTTCTATTAAAAAAAAACAACTAGGGAAAAAATTAAATTCATCTTTTTCCACCCCTAGTTCTATAAAATGGAGCAGTGGCTAGAGTGGGTAGAGACTCATCTTTATGAGTTCAAACCCAGCCTCAGACATTTATTGGCTCTGTGACCCTGGGCAAGTCACTTAATCCTATTTGCCTCAGTTCCTCATCTGTAAAGTGAGCTACAGAAGGCGATGATAAACCACTCCAGTATCTTTTCCAAGAAAAACCCCAAATGGAGTCACAAAGACTCAGGCACAACTGAAATGACTGAAAAACAGTAACAACAACAGTTCTATAAAATAACCCTTTGGTAGTTTGATTAGTATAGCACTGTATAAGTGAGTTAATTTAGGTAACATTGTCATTTTTATTGTATTAACTCGATCCATACACAAGTAATTAATGTTTCTCCAGTTACTTAGGTCTGATCTGATTTCTTTAAAGACTCCTTTGTAGTTGGATTCATACAGTTCCTAGGGTATCTCTTGGGAGCTAGATTCCTAGAGATTTGTACGGTCTGTATCATTTCTTAATGTGATTTCTCTTTCTAGCTCTTCCTGCTGGGTTAATAATATACATGAATGTTGGTGTGTATTTATTTTGTATCTAGCAACTTTGCTTAGTTTACTATTTTAATTAATTTTTAGTTGAGGTTTTTCTAATAGGATCATCTGAAAAGGCAACGATTTTGTTTTTTCTTTGCCTTTGCTTATTCATACTCTCTCTTAGCTAGCATTTCTGGGGCCGTGTTAAATGTTAGTGATAATGGGCAGCTTTGCTTTACTCCTGGATCTTATTGGAAAGGCCTCCAACTTTTCTCCATTGTGTATAATGTTTGTTCCTGGTTTTAAATAGTTATTATATTACCATATCTATTCCTAAGAGTTTTTAAAAATAGGAATGGGTGTTAGATTGTATCAGAAGCCTTTTCAGCCTCCATGGATATGGTCATGTCGTTTTCATTATTTATGGCTGTTATTAACATGGCTTACTATGCTTATAGTATTCCTTATATTAAAGCAGCTCTGCCTTTCTAGTATAAATCCAATGTGGTTACAGTGTATAACTTTAATATGTTGTTGAGGCCTATTTAAAATTTTTGCATCAGTGCTCATTAAGGAGGGTTGCCTATAGTTGTCTTTCTTTGCCTTGTCTCTCCCTGTTCTAGGTCCCAAGATTATATTTGTATCCCAATCTCTGGTTAAAAAAGGCACTTTTTCTACCTATTTTTGCAAAGCTTATATAATATTGGAATTAGTTATTCTTGGAATATTTGATAGTTTACTTATAAATTCATCCAGTCCTAGAAGTTTTTACGTTGGGAATTCATTTATAGTTTGTTCAATTTCTTTTTCTTATGTTGGGTTATTTAAAGAATCTGTTTCTTCTTTTGTTATGTGAGCGTTTGTTATTTTTGAAAATAATCATCCATTTCTTTTTTGATACACACATTTTGATTTTCTTCTTCCTATTTTTGTTCATGATTAGCTATTAGGTTTTTTGTTTTGTTTTGTTTTTCAAAAAGTCAGCTCCTAGTTTTATCTAAGTCTCTACTTTCCAAAAATCCATCAGTTTTTTCTCATCTGAAAATCGAGGCATTTTCCCATCAGCAATCCTTTGGTGACGTTTGTAAATGTTTGCCGTCACTGCACACACAGTTAGGTGAATTCTTACTATCTCTGCCTCCTTACTACCTCCTCCTTGGATGTTCATTTCCACTTAACAACTGATAGCCCCACCTTTTCCATAGTGAGCACCTTTCTCCCTGATTATAGAAGAAATGGACCCTGGAACTCACCATGAAGCCGTTTCCTTTGGTGTATGGGTCAGATACTCTGCTCTTTCAGTTCCCTTACTGTTTCCCCCACCCCGCCTCAGCCCCATCCAAAGATGGCCATGCCGTGGTCTTGCCCTCCCCCACAAGCGCACCACCTCTATGGACTCCCTTATGTGGTCACCACCTTTGGTCATTCCACCTCCCCCTCGGCCCTTCTTCCTCTTGACTTCAGCCCCTCCGGTCTTTCCCAGGTCACAGGCTACACCCTCCTCCCATCCCCATCTTGACTCCTTGGTGAGCCAGTTCACTCTATGGTCTTTCTCTCTCAAGCCCCCATGCCCCCTTAGCACATGTCTTGCCCTGCCAAGCTTCAACCTTGGCTGACTCCCACCACCCACTGCCTTCACTCCTGGTCACGTGCTGTTGAACCACATACTCTTGGCATGTAGTGACACCGGCCTCCTGACTGCTCCGTGACCAAGACACTTCATGTGTTGGCTCCAGGCATTTTCTCTGGCTGTCCTCCACGTCTGGAATGCTCTCCCTCCTCATCTCTGCCTCGTGCCCTCCCTGGCTCCTTTCAGATCCCCACTAAAATACCGTCTTTTCTAAGAAGGTTTTCTCGATGGCCCTTCATGTTAGCCCTTCCTCTGTGGATTGTCTCCAGTTTATCCCGTGTATATTGTGTTGGTACATAGTTGTTTGTATATTGTGTCCCCCATTAGATTGTGAGCTCCTCAAGGGCGGGGACTGTCTTTTGCCTTTCTTCATATCCCCAGCACTGAGCATTGCCCAACAGATAGTAGGTGCTTAATAAATGTGTGCTACCTTTTCTCAACTTCCTTCTTCCTGATACAAAGAACAGTAGATACTGACTCTTCTCATTTCTTTCAGATTCCCTCAATTCAGGGACCAAGTATGAAATCAACGACTGGATTCCAAAGCCTGGCCTTTTTATGGGGGCATCCTTCAAGGAAAGAGCAGCCACCAGGAACGGGCCCTGGCATTCCAAGATGGGAGCAGCTTGGGACCTTGATGTCACGGGAGAGGGGCAGAAAGGCAACCGGGAGATGCGTGCCAGGCCGATAGCAGTCTCCTCCAGGAAACCTGTGAATAAAGCGAGCATCCCTGAACGCGGTGCCGCTGACAGGAGTTTCAGCCTGGAGTCCATCTATGTTCCGCAACAGAGAATTTCTGCAGAGAAAAGTCTTCATAAATATGATACTCTTGTGAAGAGCTTCAAGCAGTTTTCTGACTTAATTGATTGTAACAGACTCTCCTTGGGAAAGAAGCTTTGTAAGTATAATAAATCCAGGAATCCTTTTAGTTACCACTCAGACCTTATTCAGTTTCATAGAATATATAATGGGGAAAAGATATATGAATGTAATGAATGTGGGAAAGCCTTTGGGAAAAAAGCGTACCTTACTCAGCATCAGAGAATTCATACTGGGGAAAAACCCCATAAATGTAACGTATGCGGGAAAGCCTTTAGTCATAGGGAAAATCTGACTCATCATAAGAGAATTCATACGGGAAAGAAACCCTATCAGTGTAATGAATGTGGCAAAGCCTTCAGTCAGTGGGGAACTCTAACCGCACATCAGAGAATTCATACTGGAGAGAAGCCCTATATATGTAACGAATGTGGAAAAGCCTTTTGCCAAAGAGGGACACTTAACGTTCATAAAAGAATTCACACTGGAGAGAAACACTTTGAATGCAAAGAGTGTGGGAAAGCCTTTAGCAACAATTCATGCCTTAATCTGCATCAGAGAATTCATACTGGAGAAAAACCCTATAAATGTAATGAATGTGGGAAAGACTTCAGACATAGGGCATCTTTTATTTATCACAAGAGAATTCATACTGGTGAAAAGCCCTTTGAATGTAATGAATGTGGGAGAGCTTTCAGCAAGAAAGGAAATTTTATTGAACATCAGAGAATTCATACTGGAGAGAAACCCTTTATATGCAGTGAGTGTGGGAAAGGCTTCATTAATAACACGCGCCTTAATCTGCATCAGAGATTTCATACGGGAGAGCGGCC